CAATGCTTGATAAGAAATGTACTCATTATCTTGCCCATGTAATTGTAACCCCTCTGTACAGTATGTTCACAAAAAATAAAAATTAAAATAAAAAAGTTAATTCTTAAGGTAATCCACACTTTTAATGTAAAAATTTAGAAAGGAAAATAAAAGTATCCCCTAGTCCTTTGCTTCCTTGAAAATAGCTTGACTTTAATTTTCTAACCGAAGTAATGCTAACTCACTTTACCAAAAACAAAAACAAAAACTTTAATCACATAATGTTACTATACAATAAGCTCCTCAAAGCTCTTTTTGAGTAGCTGAATTAAATGACTCCAAAAATTGCTCTGGAGTTTGATTTGGCTAATGATAGAGTTTGTCACTTTATCTGCCAATGGCAATCCTTTTCCAATTTTGGCTGCAAACTGCAGGTTTTGAAATACAGGCAAGTCTTAAAGCTACATTAAAATAAAAATGAAAAATATTCTAATCAGAGTCTCAGAGGTCAGCTATGGAGCACCTGCATTTTTATGACATTTTTATGCATTTTTATTTCACGTTTAGTAGATTGGTTGGTTGGTTGGATGGTTGGTTTTTTATTTTGGTGCTGGTCTTGAGGTTTGAATTCTGAGTCTGGGTACTTTCCCTGAGATTTTGTGTTCAAGGCTACAACTCTAACCTGAGCCACAGCTCCACTTCTAGCTTTTTGATAGTTAATTGGAGGTAAGAATCTCACAGACTGGCCAGACTGGCTTTGAATTATGATCTCCTCAGATCTCAGCCTCCTGAATAGATTGGATTGATTAAAGGCACATGCCACCTGTGCCAGGCTGGTTTACAGTAAGTTTTTGACTTGAAAAATTTGTTCTCTCAAAAGTGCCAAACCACTTTCTTTTATCCTTTTAAGAACTTTCCTGTTAAACCTACATTTAGAATTAGAAACAAACAATTCGTACCATATTCTTAAAACCAAACACACTTCCTTAATAGTATAATCTGCTAGTTAACTATATGATAATCTCAAATCTGTTATAATATGCAAAAGATTAACATGTAACATACCAAGTAATTAGTTATACCAGGGGATTATAATTATACCATCATCAATTAATTATACCACAGGATTTCATTTTGATATGCCCATAGACGCATATAATGTACCTTAATAAGACTTAACCCCTTTATCTATGCTTCAAAAAATATATATCTTATGCATATCCTAAGAAACTAGGAAAATTGAGGGGAGGTGTTAGGTTGAGAGGGATGGGTGAGAATGCTGAAATTAGGTATGGATCATTAGGCATTTGTCTGTGCTTCAATTGTTTCTATCTTTGTTTACAAAATTTCAATGGTGGCAGTAAATTTTCTATTTTCTTCCCTGGGCTGGGGAATAGATATGTTCTAGGAATCCTGAAATCTGAAATATATTTTCCATAACACTTATGTTAATTAGTGATTCCACTGTAAAGGAAAGCACAGAATTTTAAAACAGAATGGTCACTAAGAGCTTCATACTGTCACATACAGATGAAGAAACTGCAGTCCACAGGATTTAAGCAACTTGAAAAGTAATTTACAGCCTGTCTCTTGACTCTAGCCCCATGGTTTCTTCATTGTATTTTATGGCTGTTTGGCTACAAGAGCAAATTGCATTGGGAACCCAGTAATTAGATCTACATTTGAACAATGAAAAAATGCTTTCAAACTCTACAACTTTTGATTTAGTAATAAACATTTGGAATCTAACTTGTTGGTAACATAGAGAACTACATAATACCGTAATACTGCCCCTTCTACCTTTGGACAGTTAATACCTCAAAACATGTCTAAAATTATTTTATGTCTCTCATTATTTTAGTCTCTTTAACAAAATTATCTCTATTTGCTAGATATGTTCTTGCATCTTTCTGTCCTCTGTGGAAAGAGAGTCTTGTAACAATCCTACCCTCTTCTTACTATTGTCTAATAAACCCCAGAATGGAGTTGTAACAATCCCCCCCACATACACACACGCACACACTTCATGTAAGTGTTTTATATTCTTTGAAAATAAAGGGAATCATGAAGACATTTCTGATGGCAAAGAGAAATGCAAGAGGGAAGGAAGAAGGGAACAGGAGAATGAGAAGGCATTAAAAATAATTTACCTACTGTGAGTAAAACACAAAACTATTAAACTCAAAATTTTTAAACTAAAACACAGCCAAAAAACATAACAAACAATTAGCTATTGTAACAAACCCCTCAAAACTGTCCAATGAACTAGTGAAGCCTTTAAGAAAAATTGCAGACCATTGTAAGTACAAATCAAGCAAAGCTTATAAGACAAGAAGTTAAAAGACTTGTTATTATCCTACTACTCACAGTTGCAAGAATAAAAGCATAAAGTTATCAGTTAATAACATTGACTGAGGTCCCTAAGTGCCAAGTACTGTAGAAGGATGGGTATGGAGGCAGAAAGGGATACAAACAAAAGAAAAGGCAAAAAATGAAAATCCCTGCCCTCCATGAGCTTATGAGCTAATTGATATGATATGCAATCATGAAAATGCCTTAAAGTGTTATATATAATTGCAGATAAATATATTCCAAGAAAATCACAAAAGCAATGGGGATAAAGGGTAAGTATGTGAAAAAGGATGAAATTACAGAAAATGTGAGTCAAATTTATGAGATGTAACCAAAAAGTGCTGGGAGAATTCTCACTAGTACTTCTCTATATAACTCTTAGTACTTAATTAATTTCTCTTCTATGACTAACAACTATGCCTCCCCCAAATCTAGGATGTACTATCAAAACAATATCTAGGTGGATGTTAAGAGTTCTGGTTTTTCGTTTTTGTACTAACTATATATAGTATTGAAGGAGAATTATATTTCCATCTGAATTTTTAACAATTTTTGTCATGAACCTAAATGAATGGTTAATTATCAAAACTTCAAAAAAAGCTGAGGAGAAAACCAAAACAGGTTACAGTAAAAAACTTTTATGCCCTATAATATAAAAAAACTTACATCCTACAATCATAATCAACTTTTGTAGAAAATCTTAAAACTCCACAAATACAAATATAAGCAGGCAAAAAACAAGCCTAAAAGCTTGTCATAAAGCAATATACTCTGACATGCATGCACAGGTGGGACTGCATGCAGATAACTCAACTTTCACTAATTTAAAAGCTCAGAAATAATAGTTAAAACAAAAATATGTTGAATCTGTGCATTAATTATAAAAAGATAAATTTTCAAAAATTATTAAATGTAAATTTTAAGACTAGCAGAAAAACTTCAAAAGTAGAGTGGCCTTTCTATTCTGTATCAGTGAATGAATAATTTTACCTTCAGTATTGAGGTCAATTCATTCATAGCTTTTTTTTTTTTACGGTCGTGGGCCTGAACTCTGGGCCTGGGCGCTGTCCCTCAGCTCTTCAGCTCAAGGCTAGTGCTCTACCACTTGAGCCACGGCGCCACTTCCGGCTTTTTTCTTTTTGCTTATGTGGTGCTGAGGAATCGAGGCCAGGGCCTCAGGCATGCAAGGCAAGAGCTCTACCACTGAGCCACCTTCCCAGCCCCTCATAGCTTTTCTTATAGCAAAAAGCCGACGGGGCAATACTTGTACTTAGAATAACAGAATGTTTTCAGATAAGAAACTAGAAAGAAAAAATATTTGTGGGGGCAGGTGCCAGTAGCTAGATATTCAGGAGGCTGAGATCTGAGGATCGTAGTATAAAGTCAGCCAGGACAGGGAAGTCCAATAAACATTCAAAAAACCGGAAGTGGCACTGTGGCTCCAGTGGTAAAACACTCACCTTGAGCTAAAGAGCTGAGGGACAGCGCCCAAGCTCAGACCCAAAAAAAACGGGGAGTGGGGAAAAGCACTGAATTCCAATGCTTCTGAAGAGTCTGAGTTTCAAATTTTAACTACATTGAGAACATATAATCTAAAATTTAAAAAAGCAAAACTGATACATGTTGTAAAAGTTTTCATAATAAAACTAAAAACTGCACAGAACCTTTTTGAATTAGTATTAAGGTTTATGCTAATAAGGCCAAAGTTCTATACAAATTCAACCAAACAACTGAGAGGTGCGTTTCTCGGTCACAGCATGGATGCCAGGCCCACGCTCACCTTGGACGTCTTCCTCTCCACCATCACCATCTTCTTCCTCATTGTAAGCCAGCTCAGCCTGCTTGTCTGCCTCATACTCACCTACGTTACCATCATCCCCATTATAATCCGCCAGTTTAGAGCCATGCTGCGGATCAACAGGGGACTCATTCTCATCAAAGAATCGGCCTGTGAAGTAGGTAGAGGATTAATTCAAGAGTAAAGGGAAGAAAAGAATGGCCCTATACTGAAGACAGATGAGAAAGCAGACAGTGAAACCTGGAAATTTGCAGGGTACTAGTTATAAAAAAGGATACATTTCATAAAGGTTATACTAGACAAGCATACTTAAGAGTGAAGACCTCATTCAAGAATTTGTCTTTTGAGCTCACACCTGTAATCCCAGCTACTCAGGAGGCTGAGATCTAAGGATTGTGGTTCAAAGCCAGCCCAGGCAGGAAAGTCCATGAAACTCTTATCTCCAATTAACCACCAGAAAACCAGAAATGCCACTGTGGCTCAAGTAGTAGAGTGCTGGCCTTGAGGAAGAGCTGAGGGATAGTGCTCAGGCCCAGAGTTTAAGCCTCAGGACTGACAAAAATTTTTTTAAAAATTTTAAAAATTGTCTTTTGTGTTTAATACTTGTTACTTAAGATTTGAATGCTTTTTGTCTTTTTTAATTATTGAAACAAGGTCTTACTATGGAATTCAAACTAGCCTGGAACTTGCCCATACTAGTCTTGAATTCATGAATTGCCTTGCCTCTCAAGTGCTGAGACAGACTATAGCCATTTGATCCTCCACCAATGATTTCAGTGTTTTCTTAATAAAAAAAAATTTTTTTAAAGGTACTACTTTTAGGATTGTTTTTCTTTTCTATTGGTCCTGGGGCTTGAACTAAGGGCCTAGACTTGTCCCTGAGCCTCTTGGTGCTCAAGGCTAGTACTCTACCATTTGTGCCACAGAACCACTTCCAGCTTTTTCTGAGTTGTTTACTGGAGATAAGAGTCTCAGAGACTTTCTTGCCTGGGCTAGCTACTTTTTTGGAGGGGAGGTCAGTTGTGGGGCTTGAACTCTGGGCCAGAGCACTATCCCTTAGCTCTTCAGCTCAAGGCCAGTGCTCTACCACTTGAGCCACAGCACCACTTCTAGTTCTCAGAGTGGTTTACTAGAGATAAGAATCTCACAGAGTTTCCTGCCTGAGCTGGCTTAAAACCATGATCTTCACATCTCAGCCTACTAAGTAGCTAGGATTATAGTATGAGCCAACTGCACCCAGCTCAGGATTGTTTTTCTAATGACCCACAATTTCTCTATTGGACAAACACTTCAGTAGAATGAATTATTTAAATCCTGGAGATAACACATATTTGAAGTTCGTAATCATCTGTTGCTTTATCAACTACTATTTCCCCTGAATAATATTGAAATCTTTAAAACAAATGAGTGCAGACTACATTCTTTTGTACACTAATACAAACTATTAGAGCTGAGGCTATCTCATATTCCTTTAATAATTCCCAGTAACATGGATTCCAAAAAGACACAGAAGACAGAGCAAGAACCAGACTAGAGCTTTGAAAGAAAATCCCAATTATTTCTGGTTTCTCGCTTTCCATTTTCATTATCAAATTCAAAAAAGAAAAGTCAGTGGAAACTTAAGGAAGTTCACCTACCAGAGATCATTATGCTGTACACATTCCTAACGATTACAAATTGAAAAAAAAACATAATAGTTACTATGATAGAAACCTATTCAATTAGACATTAAAAATAAAAATGATGGAAGTGCCACTATGGCTTAAAGCTAGCACTCCTGAGTGAAAAAGCTCAGAAACAGCACCCAAGCCCTGAGTTCAAGCTTCCTAACCAACAGAAAAAAAAAAAAAAAGACAAGACAGGTACACTAAGACCTAACTTAAAACATAGGTTAAAAACTCTAGCCGGGGTCTGGGGAGTTGGCTCAGTGGTAGAGCGCTTGCCTTACATGCCTGAGGCCCTGGGTTCAATTCCTCAGCACCACATAAGCAAAAAGAAAAAAGCCGGACGTGGCACTGTGGCTCAAGTGGTAGAGTGCTAGCCTTGAGCTGAAGAGCTGAGGGACAGTGCCCAGGCCCAGAGTTCAGGCCCCACGACCGGACCCCCCCCCCAAAAAAAAAAAAAAAACTCTAGCCGGGCATTAAATTTAGCATTATCTAGCATGAAAGTTAATGTGTTAATTTGTAAAACATGAATTAAATCAAAATGTAGGAATTTCAAACTTAAGACATTAACAATTTTCTAGAGCCTGGCATGGTGGTAATGTCTGTAATTCCAGCTACTTGGCAGTATGGCCATTCAAGGCCAACCTAGGTAAGAGTATAACTCTGTCAAAAAAAGCTAAAGCAAAAAGAGCAAAAAGGGTGGCTTCAGAGACTGCTTGCCTACCAAGGTAAAGACCCTGAGTTCAATCCCCAGTACCACCAAAAAAAAAAAATTGTCTTTGCTTGGAAAGAAAGTACAAATCATAAGGATTATGGAGTATTAGCTACTTCTACAGATGGGTTGCCACATCATCAAGGCAATACATTTTTAATTGCTGGTTAAAGTATTAAACAGTAGGATAGTTAAATAACAAATATTTATAGGCTTTTAAAGAAACCATGAAACCAAAGTAATTGAGGTCAATAAAGAGAACAATATTTTAGCTAGATGCCTTTAATCCTTGCAACTAAGGAGGCTGAGATCTGAGGATTGAGCAATGTGCAGTCAGCCAGGCAGGAAAGTCCATGAGACTATTACCTCCAATTATCTACCAAAGCCAGAAAGGAGACACACACACACACACACACACACACACACACACAATTTTAAAATAAAATTGAGGAACATACAGTAAGTAAATGGGAAAGTTCATCAAATAAATCCAGACATGGTGGCACATATCTATAATCCCAGCTACTCAACAGACAGAAGCAAGAGGATTCAGAGTTTAAGATAAGTCCAGGCAAAGTTAACTTTGAGACCCTGTCTCAAAAACAAAAAAAAACAAAAGGGCTTGGGGCATAGTTCAAATGGTAGAACAGGGGAAAAAACACAGTAGCAGAGTACTTGCCTAGCAAGTGAGAGATCCTGAGTTTGACTTTAGGCAATGTCAAAAAATACATGAGAGAAAAAGGAAAAATGATAATAGAAAGAAAAAAAGGCACAGACTATTTGTTAGAAAAACAAATTGAATAACAACAATATAAAACAACCATTTTGGTGGCTTTTTAATATTGTCTTTTTCTAGCTAAGTACCAGTGGCTCCTGTCTGTAATCCTAGCTACTCCAAAGTCCAAAATTCAAAGCCAGAGCAGGCAGAAGTAGCTCAAGTGAAAAGTAGCTCAAGTGGTAGAGTGCCAGCCTTAAGAAAGAAAACTAAGCGAGAGTATGAGGCCCTGAGTACTGGTACATAGAGAAAATAATTTAAAAATACCTCTTCCTAACGATAAAAAATAAATGGTGCTCAATGTAAGTAGGAAAAAGATTTAAAGACATCCCCATTTTCTTTTTCTCAATATGAATGTTTACTTAAAAACAAAACAGCTGGTATAGTTAATCTTAATCTGTATGCAGTGAAAAACTGCTGTTTTAAACAAACACTTATATATGTTAGGTACCAGTGAGCTTTTCAAAGTGTTCTATATTTCCTCCAATAAAATTTTGCACTTTCTTTTTTATAATCAAGAATTATGAAATACAGAAAAGGAAAAAAAGCCTAAGAAAATTACTGCAAAATATAGACAAATTAGTAATCTTGTTAGGCAAGGAAAATTAATTATAGAAATGGCCTTTCTGTACCTATAATATTCCAACAGGGCAATTTAAGCTTGTATTGCTGTTTTTTTTTTTAACGCCTTGACTCATCTAACTAGCTTGAACTCAGTCATAAAATTTTAATACTATAATTAAGGTAACAGATAATTTTAAAAATCATGAATAAATGACCACACAACTTCCCCTTTTTAATAGTGAGCTGTGATGCAGGGTGCCAGTGGCTTATGCCTGTAACTGAGGCTACTCAGGAGGATGACATCAACAGATAATGGTTCAAAGCCAGCCCAGGCAGGAAAAGTCCATGAGATTCTTATCCCCAATTAACCACAAAATTCCAGAAATGGAACTGTGGCTCAAATGGTAAGACTGCTAGCCTTGAGCAAAATAACTCAGGGACAGCACCCAGGGCCCATGTCCCAGTACCAGCACACACACAAAAATCATGTTTGGAAAAAGACCTAACACCAAAATTGAGTTTCCAACATTCTCATAGAGTATAAGAGAAGAAAACCTAGACAAAGTTGCCCATTAGTTGGGGATATACAATAAGCTTCATATTTTACATAGTGAAGTTTGACATTTTAGGTAAAAATGCATTACACTAATCAATGTAATAGATGGCTAAATTATATGGTTCCTGAGAAATACATCAATGTGAACTAAGAGTAAGAAGAGAAGGTTTCAAACCATTGACAAATATGGGCTGAGAGTAGCTCAATGGCAGTGTGTGCTTAGTGTGATCCTGGGTTCCTCTAGAGGCACATATATTAGACTAAGAAGAAAAGAAGCATTCAAATCAGTAAAAACAAGGAGTATTAGAGGGTTGGGGAGGTGGCTCAGTGGTAGAGTGCTTGCCTTGAGTGCATGAGGCCCTGGGTTCAATTCCTCAGCACCACATAAGAAGAAAAAGCCGGAAGTAGGGCTGTGGCTCAAGTGACAAAGCACTAATCTTGAGCTGAAGAGCTGAGGGACAGCACCCAGGCCCAGAGTTGGCCCCATGACCGGCAAAATAAATAAATAATTAAAAATAAATAAATAAAACAGAGTATTAGAAAGTAGGAAGAAGAAATTTGGACAAGGAAATTAAGGATAATTGGGGAAGACTTGTAAGGTTGGTGACTTTAAAAGACTCTCTAATATCCCCTTAATAAGACCATTATTTAAATCAGTTGACAGAGTATATTAAAGTATCAACAATGATCTTCAACCTATCCATTAAACAAGATCCACTGATGTATGTGATAGGTACTATGTGGGGTACTGTAAGAGAAAATAAAGTTAACATGTCGATCACCAATAACTAGCCAATAATAGGGGAGACAGATACACAGTTAAAATAAATGTGCTTCATCACAGTGACCTAGGAAGTGGTATCAGAACCTGGAGACTAT